CGGAACCGACTCCATGGCACATAACAACAACAACATGGGTAAAATATTGAATGATGCAAAAAAACATCAAAAGAAGATGGAAGGAATACACAGTCACAGTATCAAAAAGAAATGGATGATGTTTAACCATTTCAAGAGATAACATATGGTATTGAAGGAAAAAGTCTAAGGTGCACTGAAGGCAGTGGCAAAGAATAAGACTCCAGGAGTCGATGGAGTACTAATTGAAAATTTCCAACAAACCGATGCAGCCCTGGAGACACTCACTTATCTATGCCAAGAAATTTGGAAGACAACTTCCTGGCCAGTTGACTGGAAGAGACCCATATTTGTGTCCATTCCAAAGAGAGGTGACTCAATGGAATGCAGATATCATCGGACAATATCATATATTACATAAAAGTAACATTTTGCTAAAGATAATTCAAAAATGGCTGCAATAGTATATTGACAGATAACTTGGAGAGGTTCAAGTTGGATTACATGGGACTTGAAATGATGTCAGAATAGATTTTGGCTGAAAGTAGAGCATACCAGAAAGATGTTTATTTGTGCTTTATTGACTATGCAAAGGCTTTCAACTGTGTAGATAATGACAAGCTATAGATAACATTGTGAAGAATGGGTATTCCAGAATACTTAATTGTGCTCATCAGGAATCTGTAATAGACCAAGAGGCAGCCATTCAAATAGAAGAGAACACCGAATGGTTTAAAACCAAGAATGGTGTGCATCAAGGGTTGTATTCTTTCACCATACTTATTCAGTATGTACGCTGAGAAAATAATCCAAGAACCTGGATAATATGAAGAAGAATGTAGCATCGGGGTTGGAAGAATATCAACTTTCAATATGCAGATGATACAACATTGCTTGCTGGAAGTGAAGAGGACTTAAAATATTTACTGATTAAAATCAAAGACCACTGCCTTCAATATGGGTTACACCTCTCAGTGTAAAGAAAATAAAACTCCTCACCACTGGATCAGTAAATAACATCATGATAAATGGAGAAAAGATTAAAGTTGTCAAAGACTTCATTTTGCTTGGATCCACTATCAACATTCATGGAAGCAGCAGTTAAGAAATCAAATGACATATTGCATTAAGCAAATCTGCTACACAGACCTCTTTAAAATGTTTGAGAGCAAAGATACCAGTTTGAGTACTAAGGTGCACCTGACCCAAGTCATGGTATTTTCAGGAACCTCGTATGCTTATGAAAGTTGGACAATGAATAAGGAAGACCATAGAAGAATTGATGCATTTGAGTTATGGTGCTGGAGAATAACATTAGAAGTACTATGGACTGCCAGAAGAACAAACATATCTGTGTTGGGAGAAGCAAAGCCAGAATGTTCCTTAGAAGCCAGGATGTTGAGAATTGTCTCTCATACTTCAGATTTATTATTTGGAGGGACCAGTCTCTGGAAAGGGACATCATGCTTGGTAAAATGGAAGTTTAGCAAAAAAGAGGAAGACACCTATAATGAGATGGATTGGCACAGTGGCAGCAATAATGGGCTCATGCATAACAACAGTTGTGAGTGTGAGGTTGGTGCAGGACCCAGCAGTGTTTCATTATAGGGTAGCTGTGAGTTAGAACCAACTTGATGGCACCTAACAACAACAACATGGAGTCTTGGTATGGTGCTGTAGGATAAGCACTGGTTAAAAGGTCAATTTGAACTGCAAGGTTGGTGGTTCAAATCCACCAGTCATTCCTCAGAAGTTCTATACAGGGTTGGTGTGAGTCGGAACTGACTCTATAGCACTTAACAGCAACAACAAATTATCTAACAATTTCCAGTATTAGTGGTGCTGCAAACACACCATTTGTAGTTTGGTGTAAAAAGTAATCAAGTGATTGGCTCAGCTGTAAAGAACATAAATACACCTATAAGTAATGTGTCTGGTCTATTCACTTTTGGAATGTTATGCAACCCTTTGGTTTGAGATAAAGTTTTCAGTGACAACATCATCCAGTGATTCAAAAGACAGACTAGGTAGAAGTGAAAACTGAGTCTATACTTCAAAAGGTGGCTCTTGACAAAAACACTAATGCTCCAAGTGCAGGTGAATAGCCCGAATAAAACCGTTTCTTGAAGAAAGTAGAAAAGAGCAATTTTTCTATCTCAAAGGCCATGTCACTTAACCAGGCAAGTGTAAGTAAATTAATAAAGCAAATATTTTAACTGTTTGATCTGTACCATTAAAAGTTAAAAAGTTTTGGTATCTCCTCCTTGGACAAATGGAACTCACCCTCTATCCAGAGTCACTCTCTGCATGGGCAGACATGAGTATTTCCTATACAAATCTACCTGGATCTTGTAGCCACTGGGCTAAGTGCTGTGGGTTAAGAATGGCTGGCCTTTCCCTGGCTGAGGGGTGGAGAGAGTATGTGCACGGTGAGGATGGTGGATCATTCATAAAAAGGTGGCATCACACATCATTCATAAAAAGGTGGCACTGGAGCATCTGACAACAGAACATAGGCTTAAGAGTTGGAGCCTGAAAGGGAGGTGTTGGGACCCAGCTTGTGCATGTATTTCTGGGTCATGATGGTGACAGGGGAATGGGATGTGTTTAGGAAGCTGGATTGCCAAAAGCTTTGAGCCTCAGAGTGTTTTGTCCTGAACACACAAAAAGGTGCTAGGTTTTGAGTAAGAGAGCACTGACCATCTTCACTGGGTCCTGCCTTCAGCCACCAGGGCTTCCAGTCCTTGTTCAGGGGTGTCCACTCTGGGGTGGACAGCACCAAGCAGCCCCACTCTTACAGGGGAGGGAGCTCTAGAAGGCCTTATGCTATGGAATGAATTGTATCTCCCAAATGTTGTTGTTGTTATGTGCCGTGGAGTCGGTCCTGACTCATAGCGACCCTGTACAGGGTTTCCGAGGCTGTAAATCTTTACAGGAGCAGAAAGCCTCATCTTTCTCCTGTAGAACAGCTGGTAGTTTCGAACTGCTGACCGTGAGGTTCTCAGCCCGATTCGTAACCACTACGCTACCAGAGCTCCTTATCTCCCAAATAGATATGTTAAAGTTCTAACACTTGATGCCTGTGAACGTGAACTTGTTAGGAAAAAGGATCATTGAAGATGTAATCAGTTAGCATGAGGTCATACTGGAAAGGCTGGGTCCTAATCCCATCTAAGTTGTGTCCTTATAAAAGAAGAGAAGAAACACAGAGATAAGACAAAGACAGTCATGTGAAGACCTATTTATAAGTCAAGGGACACCTGGAGCTATCAGAAGCTGAAAGAGACAAGAAAGGATCTTTCTCTAGAGCAGACAGACAGAGCAGGCTCTTGCCAACTGGATTCCTAGCTGGCAGAACCATGAAACAATAAATTTCTGTTCTGAAAAGCCACTCAGTTTACGGTATTTCATTATAGCGACCCAAAAACGCCTTACCTGAAGCCGCCTTCTTGTCTATGTCTGTTCTCTATTCGTTCAAACTCCTCAGAGGCCAGCACCATCCCACTGTCTGTCTGGTTATCCTGTGCAGAAAGAGCAAGCCTAAGGTATAGCCTTGTCCTAGGCCCTTCCTTGGGACAGCTGTTCCCAGCCAGGAAGGATGCACGAATCGCCACCTGTATATCTGCTGATTTAACGTCCCCTCTGTGGAAATTGAGCGATAACCTGAGCAGAGCTTGCAGCTGTGGGCTCACACACTCTAGTCCATAGGGGAAGAAACTGCAGTTCTGGTGTGGGGAGAATGCCTGGTCTATCCTTGGGAGGCAGCAAAGCTGAGACACCCCCCATTAGGGGCCCACAGACGGTCCTCAGGGCATGGTTAAGCGGCAGCACCAAGAGAAATGGGGACAATATTTGAAAGAATAGGATGGTTCATATTGATGATCACCATGGAGGAACATCGTACCTTCAGTTGAGCTTTGCTATACTTGATCATGGTTGGTTTGGTATTTATTCAGATTTACGCAAGAAAGGACTATAATCTTTTCAGAGTTTGAAGCCCTCTCAAGTATTCCTCTGATCCGGGCACTTGGGTCAACATGGTTCTGGTGTAGGCCTCCCACAGGCCCAGCATTCACTGACCAGGGCCCAAACCCACTGCCCCTTGTTGGGGAGGGAGGGTGGACTGAGAGGCTGGGGCTTGACTCCTGACTGAAATTCATGTTTGGGGAGGCTCGGTCTTTTTTTTACAAAATGGAGACACTAAGACCAGCCCCAAGGAGCATACCTGCTCATGCTATGCTCGCTATGTGTTTTCATCTGCATCTGAAAATACAGGTGTTACCACCTGGGGGGACCTCTGTATTTTCTTATACTGGGTATCCTAGCCTCATCCTCCAATGATACTGACCCCATGTGGCTTGGTGGTGCTGACTGAGCGTCACTGGGAAAGAGAAGCTGCGTTTCCCCTGGGGTTCCTTGGCTGTGGGGAGAGACCCCCTAGGGGGAGTGACAACAACAGTTACACAGGGGAAAGCAGCTGAGGGACAGAAACATCTTCTAAGATCCCAGATCCAGATTGCCTGAAGCTTGCCCTGAATTTGCCATTTTTCAGGGACAATGGACTCCCTTTTCTACCACTTGCTTCGGGAGTTCCAGCTGTTCCTTACCCCTCACCCTCTGCACCTGCTTCCCACAGAGAAGGAGCCCTGATCAGAAACCCACAACTTCCCTCCTCCCAGTTATCGCCAGGGAGCTCACCACTGAGGCTTTGGAGGTCATTGGGGTCATGGGAAATTCTTCAAACGTTTTCATTCTGGAGGGACCCTGGGTCTGACTTCCTCTGGCCAGGCACCCAGGGAAGGACACACAATTGTAGTATCTGGAGATTAGATGGAAAGTGTTGAAGCAACCCTCCTAAAAGCTCTCTCCAACTCTCCTTGTGCCCCTTTCCCCAGTGAAGACCCCAATTCTGGAGCATGAGGATCTGAGCCCCTCCTCAGGTCCCACTGGGCAGGCCTCCCTTATTCTGTTTCCTCTCTTGTACCTGAGGGATAAAGGCTTATTAATCCATCACTGGGAAGAGTATGATAGGAGAGTGGAGTGTACCCAGGTCCCCCTGTGGCCCTTCCCACACCAGAGTCAGACCATTTACAGTGACTTAATGCCGTGGGTTAATGCACTGCACTGCAAAGTCTGTTTGAATGGCAATGTCAGCAGATCAAGCTCACCAGCCGCTCCTGGGAAACCCTATATAGGATCCCCATGGGTTGGAACCAACTTGACAGCACTTAACAACAACAACAACAATGACCCCTCACATCTCTGCAATTTGCTTTTCCTTGATGACTGATGAAAATAAAATATACCATGTCCAAAAACTCCCCAGTTCTACCCTCATCCCATCCCACCCCTGGCCTTGGAGGGCAGCTGACCTGGCAGCCAGGCTGTGGCGGTGCAGGCTGGGCGGGCTGCCCTCAGAGTCAGCACAGGCGATGTGCAGGGCAGTGGTGGAAGCCTGCAGGAAGCTGCCCTCCTCTGAGCTCTGGGAGCCACGAGGGGGCATGAAGTCCTCCTCCTCCTAACAGGGACAGGACAGATGTTTAGGGTCAAACATCACATGCTCCCTCCCCTAAGCTCTTCCAATAGGTGGTACTTCAAGTTTGATAAAGGCTTGCTCCATGCTGCCAGTAAAATCATGGCGACCCCTTGTGTATCAAAGTATAATTGTGCTCCATAGGCTTTAATGGCTGACTGGTTTGGAAGTACATCGCCAAGCCTTTCCTCTAAGGTACTTCTGGGTAGGTTTGAGCCCCAACCTTTTGGTTCCGCCAAGTGTCCTAACCATCTCTAATACCTAGGAACTTCTGCTGTGTGCCAGCTCCCCTAAATTTTCACAACAGTCCTCCATGTTATAGATGAGGAAGGTACCCATCAGGGAGGAGACACAGGCCAGGGCCCAGTCAGAGAAGAACATCCTTGCCCATGGTCCTTGGTTGTCACTGAAGTCTCAGGAGCCAATGTGAACCATCGTTTTCCTCTTGAAGCAGTCCTGAATGCTGGGCAGCAGGCTACTCACTACTTTCTCTTCTATCCCCACTGCCCACCAATGCTTCCTGCTGTCAGCCCTGAGCTAGGTTCTGAGCTGGCTCTAGCCCCCACCCTGAGAAGCATTGTATGGCGGGGGAGATATGCTGCGACACAAGTGATAAGGGCCCGTGTACTTGGTGGGCACAGGGTAGAGTGGGCCTGCACAGTGGTGAGGGAGTGGATAGATGAGTTCATTAGTCCAGTGCTAGAGAGGTGAGGGTCTGCTTTGTAGCCCCACTGAGGAACCAGCACAGAGGTGGGAGAAGTGCGGTGCCCCCAGCATCACTGTGATGGTATTTATCATGAAGTGGAGCCCCCCATGGGCAAAGATGAGCTATGACCATCTGCGTGGTAGCCAGGGAGGCACTCGTGTGTGTGCTCAATGGACGACGCCTGTGTTTCTACTTTGAGTGACGGGGCATGGAGGTAGGGATGCAGGCAGTGGGCACTGGATGGCAGGCCCAGGTGCCTGGATGCTGCTCCTGCACAAACTCTTGCCTGGAAGCTGAGAGGCTGTACAGGGCTGATAGGGCTGGATACAGGGCTCAGTGAGGCAGCCAGAGTCAAGGCCAGGGCCAGGGTCAGGGTGGGGCCCTGCTGGGCAGAAGGGAGGTCTAGGAGAAAGGACCAGAAGTTGCAGCAAGACAGGGAGGAAGGGCTCACCTGCTGGCCCCCACCCTGCAACAGGTCCCCCAGGATCTCCACCAACTCTGAGAACGCAGGCCTCGCCTTGGGGTCTCCAGACCAGCAGCTAAGCATGATGCGACGTCTATAGGGTAAAGTCAGGGTATAGGACTGTGGTCTGAACATGCCTTGGGCCCCTCCACCAGTAGACCCCATCCCAGCCACCCTGGCCTGTCCCCAGTCCCTTCCACCTCTTAGACCCATGCTGACCCTCCTGCCTCGTATTTCCTTCCCTCACTAAGCTCAGTGCCCATCCCTAGGGATGCCTTCTCTGATCTCTTACTATGCCCGGCTCCCTTGGGGTCCCCCTCTCAGGGCCCACTACAGTGTGGTTACATGGTGGTCTGTGTGTCTTTAGGACAGTGGCCAGGCCTGTGCTATTCATATGGCTTCCAGGGTTAGTAGCCCCTGGCAGGCACTAAGGAGAGTTGTTGCATGGATGAGTGGGGATGGAAAGAGTGAAGTAACAGAATGCACATGACAGGATCCCCAGAGAACCCCTTTGGGACACTCACATGGCTGGAGTGGCCAGCTCTGGAGTCCTCATACGGGTGCCATCTTTTAGACGCTGGCAGAACTCCTCGTTGATCTGCACCCCAGGGTATGGGGAGGCCCCTGACAGCAGGAACAGAATGGCACGGGTAGGAAGAAAGCATCTCACTGGTCAGGCCTGCCACCCAATCGCCTCCCCTCACCCATGGCAGGATGCCCTTCCTGCTGCTCCCAGTTGGGCCTGGATCATGCCCTGGATCTTCGCTTGATCATGAGAGGATGATGCACCCACTTGCAAGGGCTGCTGTGTGAATGGGAGTGGTACCTAAGCCAGGTACCTGGCACATGGTAGGCATGTGCTATGTGTTAGCTAAAACTGGTTACTGGGATCATATTATCAACAGGGGTGGGAGCCAGTGTTGATAATTTCAGCAAAAACTAAGTTCCACGCCTGCCTCAACTGCTTTTCGGGGCAGCGTGCCCCCGCTTCCCAACCAAGTCCCTCCTGAAACCTGTCAGTTCCTAATCCTGAACTTTTCTCCCCCTGACTCTGACCTAGTCACCTTGTCTCTGAGGACTACTGGAGTTGCTCTAACTGGCTTCTCTGTTTCCCCTCTTGCCTCTCGATCATTCCTAAATTAGCAGCCAAAGTAACCTTTTCAAAACATGTGTCAGATGGCATCTCTCCTTTACTCAGAACCCTGCAACTGCCCCCAAGAGCTTTAAATCCCAAGTCCTCACCATGGCCACAGGGGCTGGCTGCCTCTCCTATCCCAACAGCCACCTCTTCTGATCCACACCCCCATCCTCAGCCCCTGCCTGCTCTGCTCTGCACCCTGACACAAGGCTGAGCGCCTCTTTTCTGTAACTGTTCTCCTCCACCTCACCTGCACACCATTCCAAATCAGTTGCCAACCAGTCAATTTAGACTCCTACCTACTCCACATGTGTCCCAGTGGGGTTTTCAGTGGCTAATTATTTTGTAGCTAGATCACCAGCCATTGCTTCAGAGGCACCTTTGGGGTAGACTGCAACTTCCAACCTTTCAGTTAACAGCCAAGAGCATTAACAGCTATGTGCACTACCCAGGGACCTTTGCTGGCCCCCAGAACTTACAGAGCAGCCTAATTCTTCCTGCACTCTTTAAAAAGAAAACAAAACCACCACCAACAAAAATCGATTCTGACTCAGTGACCCTATAGGACAAAGTAGAACTGCTCCATAGGGTTTCTAAAGCTGCACATTTTTACAGAAGCAGACTGCCACATCTGTCTTCCATGGAGCAGCTGGTGGGTTTGAACTGCTGACTCAGTTGGCAGCTGAGCATTTAACCACTGTGCCAGCAGAGCTCCTGCCTGTACTCTTTGGACTGCTTTAGTTTTAGTAAGAGCATCTACCATTGTTGCCGTCTGATGGTAGTTTTCACTTATTCAATGCCGCCCCACACACTAGCTGAGGACTTCTGTTGTCTTGTCCACCATGGGCTTGCATTAGCCTGAGTGCTTGCTGAATGAACGCTCAGTCTCCTCTGTAAGGGCAGGAGCAGCATGCCCTGGAGCTGACAGTACCTGGACTAGCAGCCACAGTTACATGGTGGTGGGTTCACTGGTAGCACTCACCCAAGGAGAAGATCTCCCAGAGTAACACCCCAAAGGACCACACATCACTCTGCGTTGTATACACCTTGTCAAAGATACTCTCGGGGGCCATCCACTTGAGGGGCAGCCGGGCCTGCAGGAGGGAAGTGTAACATCTGCCTCTTAGGACTCTGACCGCTCCCCTGCATGTGTTCTGACAGCACCAGCAGGGTCCCTGCTCTGCTCTTCCCCTTCCCTTCTCCCTGCCCTGTGGACCCCCACTCTGGCCTTCTTTCCCACCTTCTCCTGCAGGTGCCTTTGGTCTCACTTGAAGATTTCTTCCCTGCTGTGGTTCTCCTGGGTCTGCCTGCTGTTCTCTTCCTCTGAGGTCTTTTGGGGCAAATTCTGCTTTCTCTTCCAATTCCTGGCCAGCTCACGTGGGACCAGGCCCTGAACACACTTTTCCTCTGACAGCTCTGCCTTGCAGACAAGCTTTGTTCCCTCACTAGAAGCCTGGTGGTCACTCTGGACCTCTGCCCTTCAGTTGCCCCTCCCTCCTGATGCTGCTTCCCTATGACCCACCTCTTTCCCTCTATGGCCTCTACCTCTGCCTCCTTCTTTCATCCTGCTGTCCTTCTCACAGCTTGGAAGTGGGGAGTAGCTTCTATAAATGCACACCTGGACCTCACTGCCACATGCCATGAGTTCAGGTAAAGGACCATAGCTGAGGCCGGGGCTGTGAAGGCCTAGACAAATACTACATGTCTCCCTGCTTCCAGCCCCTTCCCTTTCTCCCCACAGCAAACTCCTGATTAGCCTTGGATGCTCATTCAGTACCATCTCTTCTTGCTGGATTCCCCCAGCAAGGTACATACTATCTCCCAAGCATCAGTTTTGCCCAATTCCATATCTGCATGCCCAATCCACCAGGGCAGGCTAGAGACTCCATGTATACCAAATACACCCAGGCACTGGGCAAAACACAAGTTTCCATCTGGGCACTTTGGTCCCTGCTAGTCAACTCCTGGTTCAGTGGGCTTCCTCAGTGGATTTTCTGGGGTTCCCTGCATGCTCAAGCCCCGCAGTCCTCAAAGAGAGTCCAGCGGACAGTGAGTCCCCCAGCAGGTGGCAGGTGGCCTGGATCTTGTAAGCCTAGTAGACTACAGCCCTCTGTCAGCCTCTCCCCATGGTCCCAGCCCCACACATCCCCATCTAACCCACTACCTCCACCTCCCTTTCTCTTAGTGGCCTGCACTCACACTGCCCTTTCGGACATAGTCGGGGTCTTTGTAGATGTCTCGGGCAAGGCCAAAGTCACATATCTTCACCACGTCGCTCTCTGACAGCAAAATGTTCCGAGCAGCCAGGTCCCTGTGGATGCACTAGGGATAGATATGGAAGGTGGGCAGTGAGGGGCCATCAGAATAAGACCTTGGTGACACCCATTCCTGGAGTTCTGTGGTGCCCACCTCAGCCCTGCTCTTTTGGGGAAAGTATAGCTCCTGGTTAGCAATTGACGCATTAACTCCAAGTCTGTGTGTCTCCAGGACTTGCCACAGAGAGGGCTTGTGGGATTGTGGAGCTGGCAGAGATGGCTGGGAAGTCACCCAGACTCTGACGTCACATCTGACTCTACCACTGACTAGCTGGGTGACCTTGGGAAGTCACTTCCACACTTGAGGCTCACTTGCCTTCTCTGTAAAATGGGTAAGACACTGCTCAGCCACAGGGTTGTTGTTGCGGGGGTGAAGTTAGGACCAAGTCTGTCTTCCCAGGCTGGTGGGTTTTCATCTTTCTACCCTCTGCCAGGGGGCAGCTCACCTTTCGGGAGGCCAGGAACTCCATCCCCCGGGCCACTTGAAAGCTGTAGCAGACCAGGTCTTCCATAGTCAGTGGGCTAAGCCAAAGATCCTCTGCTGCAGGAAAGAGTGAACTAGGCTCAGGAGGGACCTTTACCATGACTCATCTTCCAGACTCAAAGGGCAACATCCTGGCTGCATCCCTCCTGGTCTTGTCTCTGAGGACCCTGGCACCAGCAAAAAAGCTTGCTGGTCCCCTCTTCTGCCAGTCACCCTCCACATTCCAGAGTACAGAAATTTATATTATGCCATTGGGCCTTTGCACATGATACTTTAACTGAACTGCTCCCCTCTGTGAAGCATTCTCTTATTCATCCTGTGATGCTCAAGTCAAATGTCTCTGTGAAATTGTCCCTAAGGTGTTCTTCCTTCCCAAGGTTCTTTTCTGTGCACCCTTCTCCTGCCCCTACAATCTTCTGTGTCTCTGGCAAGAGAGTGAGCGCCTTCATGGAGGGCACCAGGCCGGCTTATCCCAGGGTTCCTTGATATTGAGTTATCAGTATCATTGTACCTGCCAGACATGTTGGGCATGGGGAACACAACCTCTTACCCTCTTGGGCTGATGGCTCTCGTCTTGCCACACCCTTGCCCATCAGTAGCCGCATGAGAAGGGCCCTGTCACTGCTTACGGATTGGTTTCTTTGGTCAGCCTTGGCACCCTCCACCATGGCATGGAAGCGCCTTCGCTGCTCTGGGGACTTCTCCTGAGGAGGCACATAGAGGTCTTAGAGCAGCTACTCCCTCAAGTCCCGCCCTTTATAGTAGAAGAGTCCCTCCCACCTTGTACCCGCCTCCAGCTCACCAATAGATATCCTGGAATGGAGGCGGGCACCTACCGCGTAAGGATTGAAGGACTCCCGTTTGGCGCGTAAGAAGTTGGAGAGGTTGCCGTACTTGCAGAACTCCACGATCACCATGAGGGGGCCTGGGGTACGGGAGGATAGAAGGATGATGGAAGGATGCTTAGTGACTAAGGGCCAGCTGCGCAGAAAAGCCCCAACCTGACACTGGCCACGCCCTCCACCCCTCTTTAGCTCCGCCCTTGCCCATAGTCCACTCTGTTCAGTCCGGGTTCTTTCTAAGCCCAAAAGGTCTCTCCCACTTAGAGTGCCCATGCGCCCCAGAAAACCTCGCCCTCCTCTCTTCTTCCCCACTTCCCCCTTCCCGGCTGCCAGAAAGCTCGGTACCGTTGGGCTTGGTGCACGCCCCCAGGAGGTTGACCACGTTGAGGTGGTTACCGATGTGGATGAGGATCTTGAGCTCCGACATCAGGGCACGGTGCTCGCTGGCTGTGGCACCCTCTGGAGGAGAAACGGGGATATAGTGATTGTTCAGGACTTCTGCCCCAATGACTGCCATTACTCCATCCCAGCCACCGGCTAAGGCATGATCAGTGCTCTTGCACATGACGTTACGCAAGGTCCCCAGCAGGTCCGACTCGACTCTCTGAGGCAGGAATGAGGTGGGATTGGGACCCAGAGACTCCCTGTAGAAGCTTGAGTAAGCTGCTCTGGCTCTGAGCCTCACCAGCCCCCACAGAGCTGCTTGGTAACCCTTTACACCCTCTGATTCCACACCTTTCAGCATTTTCACGGCCACGGTGTCGCAGCTGCTGCCCTTGTTGATGCCAAAAGCTGAGGCTTCCACCACCTTCCCGAAGGCCCCATGGCCGAGGACTCTCCCTGTGGGGGTAGGGAGTGGTCCCAGGTAAGCTGTATGGGAGTGAGGGTGGAGCAGGGTGGGCAGCAGGAGTGACCAGTTGGTGAGGCCTCCTGGGAGTGGGAGGAAAGCTTGAGCCTCTTTGCCAAACAGGAAGAGCGTGGGGAGCAGGAGTGGGAAAAGGGAAAGGAGAGCAGACAGGAAGGCCTTGCATCCTCTGCCGCAGGTGTGACAGACCCACCCTGCTCAGAGCAGCAGGAAGTGACCTCCGGGGCCTGGGAACTAGGAGCCCTGGTGCAGTTTTGGGGATGCATGACCAGATGGACAGGTCAGACTAGGTGGAGGCCCTCCTGGCACACGTTCTGAGAATGGAAGGATTTTAGTCACTCCAACTTCCATGTACAAGGAGTCCTGGTGTGACGCCATAGGATAAATATTAGACTGCAAGTTTGGTGGTTCAAATTCACCAGCCACTCCTCAGAAACCCTACACAGAGTGGCTATGAGTCGGAATTGACTGGACTGTACTTAACAACAACAGCAGCTTGCATGTACAGCCTGAGCTTCAGCTGCCTATGCCAGGAGGGTGGGGCAGGGCAGGGACTGGCCTTACCCAGGTGCAGCCGTTCTCTGGGGAACTCCCACTGGCTGGCATCATAGGACAGATATTCACACTGCTCTTCCAGGGGCACCTCACCCGGGTCCATGATGATGGACAGGTAACTGGTTTTGATGTCTGCATGGGCCGGCTGAGAGTGGGAGAACAGTTCATTGATTTGGCCATATTGCTGTACCTGGATAACACTTCACCCAGGACATACGGAACCTCTTTCAGGGCTTTCGATCAAGGAGGGGACAAACAGAAAACTGCTGTGTCAGAGCCCAGCGCAGAGGAAGAAGAGGTTGAAAGACCCCAGGGCTTGGTGAACCAGGATGGGGACTTTATTCTTAATTTTAAGGACTGTCTAGGGTGAGGAAAGTGGGAGTGATCCCATGAGGAGCTAGGGAAGGGCTCAGCATAGGGAGGGGTGCTCACCCTCCTCATGTTACAGAAGATAAGGAGGAGGAGGACCCAGAAGAAGACAGCTATGACGCCAGTGCCCACGAGTATAACGATCTCCATGCTACCTTTATCCTCCGATCCTGAGTGGGCAGAAACAGTGTGGGTGTGTGTGTCAGAGGCTGGGATGCACACTGATGGAAGCGCTCCTTCTGGTGCCACAATATGCGCGAGGAGGTCACCAGAAGGTGCGGGGCGGGGCGTGGGGGGGGGGAGCAGGGGCAGACAGGCACTGAGGGTCTCAGAGGCTAGACCTTCCACGGCCACGCTGGCAGAAGAGTTGACACAGCCTTTGGCGTTGCACACGCTGCACAAATAGCGGCCCGCGTCCTCCTCACGCACGCGCTGGATGCTCAGTTTCTGGTTGGATTCCGCCAAGTCGATGCCTGTAATAGGCGGGGTTCAAGTACTGGTGGGTCTTGGGTCTCTGGACCCCTCCCTTCACCCAGGTGCAATCCCCTACCAGACTCCTCCTCCAGCAGCCTCTCGTCTTTGTACCACACGATGCTGGGAACATGCACTCCGGCCACTGGGCACCGCATCTCCAAGGAGTCGCTCACATTCACCAGGAGGTCGGTCAAGTTCTGCGTGAGCCGTGGGGCTTCTAGGGCTGAGGTAGAGGGTAGTGGGAGAGGGGATCTAAGAGGAGCTTCTGGGCACCTCGGGGAGGAGCCCTCCACAGCTGGGCAGAGGGTAGGGAGGGGGCCCAAGAGTGATAAGGTTGCACAACACGGAAGGGCCGGGGGTTTCAGGTGTGAACTGCCTCTCTGACGTTGGGTGAGGAAAGCTGCCCACCTTCACGGCAGGGTGGGGAACGCTCCTGCAGGACCTGACATGCTAATGGACTGCCGAGTGAGTGCAGGGCTGGGGGCAAAGGCAAAGCAGCGATTGGTCTCTGGGAAGTCCCGCCCTCCGCGGCCGGTCGGTCCGCCTCACCCTGCACTGAAAGGTACTTCTTGTGGCAGTGCTTGTCGTGACTGCGCCGGTCCTGCACCTCGCACACATAGTCGCCCTCGTGCTCCGGCGCCACTCGGGAGATACTCAAGCTGAGAGTGGTGTGCCGCGCCTCTTGCGATGCCTCCTCCAGGCTGGCGGCCAGCGGTGTGGCGAACAGGTGCACGTTCTTGCAGTCGAGTAGCAGCGGGTTCCCGTGCACGTCGTGCAGCGTGGACAGGTTGAGGCGATACAAACGCAGGTGCTCATACGTGTAATTGTCAGCCTGGCAGCTCAGGCGCACGGCCTGGCCCTCCAAAGGCTCCTCGGTTGGCTCTATTTCGATGCTGAAGCCGTCAGGGATGGCTGGGGGCGGGAGAAGGAATTACCTTGACATTGCCCACTCTGCTTACCTACCTGCCTGATGCTCCACTCTCAACCAAGTGTATTCTTGGGTCTGTATCTGGGCCTAGACACCTTCCAGAGCCTTCCTCACATCGTTACTAAGGTCCTTTCTTAAACCTCTATGGGGCTAGTGATCTGCCTCTCTTGCTGCCCCACCTCTTCCAGAGCCCAGATCATCAGTGAATTCCTTGTTACCAGCCTCCTTGCCTTCTCTCACTACTGGCTAGGCCTCATACTCTCCTTTCTCTGAAGCAAGCTCCCCGTGAGATTTTTGTCCCTCTGGTCTCTCACTGTCAGGCTCCCGTGGACTCCTTTCCCCTTTCAGATTTATCATTGGCTCTGTGTCCCCTTCCAGAGGTCCTCATCCTGGACCCAATAATTGTCCACCCTTGGATTTCTAAACTATCCTGAGGTTACTAACTCATTTGAAAGTCTGAAGAAACCTCCTCAGGACAAAAAAAACACATGAGCTTTTTACTGGACTGAGTTCTACATGGAACTGTGGAGTGGGAGGACAGTCCTGGGGGAGGACCTCTTTCCCTACCCCAGTGGACCAAACCCCTGGTCTATATACATTGAACTCCAAATTGATGCCTCCTGTTCAAATCCAGGGTCCCAGCAGGCTCCAGGTATCTTTCCCAGAAATTTGGTGGCCCCCCAATCTGGACTCATCCTCCTCTCCCACACCTGCTTTTTCCCCTCTTGCACCCCCACTGGCTCCTTCCCTGGAAGGTGGCTAGCTCTGGGCTCAGTCTTGTCACTCACTGGTCACGTAGAAGTAGATGAGTCGCTCATCCTGGCCCACCTTGTTGAAGACCACACACTTGTACATGGCAGATACATTGGCATCCTGGATCACCAGCTTACTCACCGTCTGGACAGAGCACAGGTAGAAGGGATCTAATCCCTGCCCAAGGGCCCCCACCTTAACCCTCCCTTTCACCAAGGGGGCCTGCTCTGTCACCAGAGTGATGGAGAAAACAGAGGCTCTGGGCTGGAATTGACCACAGCTCAAAGGCAGGACCAGGAATAGGGCAGGAAAGGAAGTGGCTGTCCAGGAAAGTTGAGAGTCAGCACAATAGACAGTTGTGATTGAGACTGTGACTGGGGTCAGGGGTCTGGCTCTGACTGGCTCAGTCTGTGACCATGTTGAAGTGGGCACAGAAGGCTGGCACTGAACTTAGTCCAATTCAGAGTAAGGATTCAGGCTGTGCTCACATCAAAAGCCAGTCACTCCTGAACTGGGGTCAGTTTATTGTCTGAGGTCACTAGCTGATCACCTTGTGGGATCCTTGTGATGTGCCCACAATATCCACAGGACTGCCCATAGCACCTTTCCCAATGTCCATGGGAGTGGCCAGGGGAGGAACTGGGTCTCAGGCTTCCAGAAGCACTCTGGCCTCCTGGGAGGAGGGAGCTTGGGAGGCAGGGGAGGGAGAGGACCATAGGCCCTGCCTACCATCCAAAGCACCCCCCTCCAGTCAGGCACTTCCTGGCCAGGCCTGGAACAGGAAGAGGCGCTGGAGGTGTGCAGGAAAACAGGAAGTGACTGTAGGAAGTGGGTGCCTTTGTTCAGCCCCCTTCCCCCGCCTGGCCTCTTCTCGGCATTGCCCCTAGACTGGACCAGTAGCTCAGCAGCCTTCTTTGGGGACCTGGCAAACCCCAGTTACCCTGTGCCCTCAGCCCTGGGGCCTGTGGTGAAGTGGCCTGGGATCTCAGCTTCCTTGTCTGAGAAGTGGCCAGAGGTCCGGCCTGCCATCTGCTTGCAGGCAGGGAAGCTGAAGCCCAAAGACACTGCAGAAAGGCCACCTGGCACTCAGCGGCTACCCCCAAAGTTCTGCAGGCAAGTTGGAAACCAAAGTGAGGAGTGATCCTCTCCCCACAGCCCTTCTCCTTCTTTACTGTCTGAGATCTGCTCTGTGTGACCGCTCGGTGGCACAGCTGGCTGTACCTTATTCTTTCCCTCCACAAACTCAGTCCAGGTGTCCAGGCTCTCAATGGGGTTCACAGCATCCTGCATGGTCACCTCCCTCCAGTCCCGGCACTGTGGCATGCCATCCCGTTGCTGCCGTCGGCTGCGAGTGACGAGGGGACAAGGGCAGGTCAGTGGTGTGGGTTAGGGGTCAAGCCTCTGTTATACTCAGAATCATCTGATCACTCTGTGATGGTCAAGAACTAAAGGTCTGGAGTCCTTCTGGAAGCCTGTGACTCGGCCCCTCCTTTGGCCACCACCCTGGGTGCAGGGAAAGGCTCTATCAACAGTCCTGTGGGCACATCATAAAGATCCCACCTGGTGACTGGCTTGCCCTAGACCTGGGATGATAGTGGAAAACAGGGGGCTTTGTTTCTGTAATACTGACTCCCATCTCTTAACCCACAGGGCCCTGCACCCCATGCTACACAGGTTGCCAGACACATCCTCCTTCCCCCAGGTACCTGCTGACACAGAGCAGTACACCCTTCCTGGTTCTGCCATCACACTCCACCACACCCTACATGTACCCCTTTGTGAAATGTTCACTTGAGTCTGCCAGTCAATCTCCCAGGTATCACTCTTCCACCACAAAGTCCCTTGGCCATCTCTCCTCTTCCCTTTCCAGGTGCTGCAGCCTTTCTCAGGGCCAAGTATATATCCTCAGCACCTTGGACTCCCACTGGGATTAAGGGGACAGCTCATGGGAAGCTCTTGCCTGCCCCAGGGCTTGATCAGTGGCAAAGCATAGTGGTGGAGCATCAGAGAAAAGTGAATTCTGGATGTGCCAAAAGTGACCTAAACAAGAAATCCTTGGACAAGAAGAAACCCTTATGAGCCTTGAATATTTCCAGGCTGGTCTGGACACATAGACCATCCCAGCTGAGTCACCCCACTAGCCATGACAGAGCCACAGGCCCTCTGCCACTGGGCTGCTCTCATCTCCTCTCCAGGTTCCCCAGTTCCTGGTGTCAGGCCCCCCCAGCCTGTGATCCTTCAGTCTACCCCACGGGGATATGAGCCACCAGTCCTCTGCTCAGAGCCCTTTTCTGTCTTCCTAATGCCTTATGGACAGAGTTCAGTCTAGGTGTGCTTCATGCCCTGCTGGCCCTGCCGATCTCAGCACTGCATGTCCTATTGTCTCCTGCTTATCTAAGCTGTCTCGATATCTGCCCTGAGTGTCCCCAACCTCTCTGTCCTGCTGACATTGTGAGTGTAGCTCAGCAATTGGGCTGCTTGTTGCTGCCTGAACTTGGAAAAGTCATGTCACTGCTCTGATCTGATTCATCCTTTATTAAGGATGCATGGTGTACCATGGGGCTCACAAGCTATCTCTGAGCTGGTTGCTCACTGGGAAGAGATCCCTTGCTGCCCAGAGACACATTCTGTGGGCCTCCTCTGATGACGCAGTGATGCATCTGGAGGTTTTACTCCTGAGAGAGGCTGGGTGTGGTCAGTCCAATGCCTAGTATCCAGACCAGGCCTGTTGGTGGTGGTGGGGTGGCTGACACAGGGAGAGTATGGGCCATTTCAGGCCTCCTCCCTACTCCATCCCAGGAGAAGTGGAGTCAGGGATGGGTCACAGTGAAATAGTGATGGGTTCATTTGGAACAGGGTTGGGTCTAGAGGCGGGTGCAGGGAGGAGATGTAGGTGATGAATGGGCTGCCAGCGGGACTGGGAAATGAGATCACAGATGAGGTCGGGGTCGGGGATGGGCTTCTGGCATAGAGGAGGATGGGCTGGAGCCATACTCACAGGCTGCGCTGGGCGAAGGCCTTGCAGGGTGTCCAGGGCCGCCAGTGCCACTGGACGCTGAGGGGTGGGGGCACCCCATAGGCGGTACAGGTGAGGGCTTGGCGACTGTGGTGAGAGTAGATGCTCGGGGAGGAGGCCTCCTTCTCGTGGATGTGGGGGGGCACTGGGAGGCATAGGCAGATAGCCAGTTAGCCAGCTTCCACCTTCCATGATCCACTCTGGCCAGGCCGTCCTTTCACCCAGTCCCAACGTCCATACCGTTTACTCTCAGCTCCAGGCTGATGTTGCGCCTCAGGCCAGCAGCTGAGTTCCAGAGGGTGAGGGTGTAGGTGCCAGCACTGGCCTCTGTTACCTCCTTGATCACCAGGGCATGTGGATTGTGGCGCCCTGACACTGCCTTGCCATCCTTGTACCTGCCAACAAAAGTGTTCAGGGCCTATGTGGAAATGCCTGGACCCATCATCCCTGTCTCATCCTGTCCTATACAACCAGAGGCAAAAAGATAAGGTCAGGTGCTGGGTTCTGATGGGCCGGGTCAGAGCAAGGGACCTCTCTGGGATCTGACCAGGTGGCTGCTGAAAGCCTGGCAGGAAGGAACCTATGACCTAAAGAGACCTGGAGATGGCCTCTCACAAGAGAGTCCCACAGCTGAAGTCCCCCGACCATTAGGCAGCTGCTTCAGAGAAGTCCTTGGAGGTCCCCGGCACCTCTTTCCCTCCCTCCAAGATCCTCTAGGAGTCCTGGTGTGGCGCTGTGGGTTAATGCGTCAGACTGTAAAGTTGTTTGAACTGCAAGGTCGGTGGTTCAAAGCTCACCAACTGCTCCTTAGAAACCCTATACAGGGTCGGAATCAACTCAACAGCACTTAACAATAACAACAAAGCCTCTAAGCCTTTCTAAAAATAGTGAGTTGACTCTGTTACTGCTTGGGCAGGTGTCTTCTCTCTGTTGTGGGCAGCCTTCTGAGCCAGGCCTGTGAGGCCCAGCCCAGAGAGTCCTGCCACCCCAGCTGAGCTTCAGTCTCAGGACCAACATGGAGCTGTCTCTCTCCTGGGCACTGAGTAAAATGGCAGTGACCTTGGAATCCTAACCACACTCCCAAAGCTCCATGTTGGAACCCATTTCCACAGGCTTCTTGGCTGTCCTCTGGAGGGCTTTCCACTTATTACATCCCTTGATTGGCTGCTCTTTCCTCTAGATATCTACAAGTTTCCCTCCTTCATTCTGCCTGTTCAAATACCTGCTCCTCAGAGAAGCTGCCCATGACCCTTCTATAGGAAACAGTACCCCCCACTCTCCTTCTTCCCCTGCTTTGCTGCTCACTGGCACATAGGTTTTACACATGTGTCTGTTGATTGTCTGCCTCTCCACTGACCTGTGAACCCAAGGAGGGTAAGGACTACCTTCCTGATGCTTTGATTCCACACACAGAACTACACCTGACAGGGTAGATGTCTAAGCAGTGTCTGCTGCAGGTGCAGGACCATGCATGTCCCACAGTTCAGGGTGCTCTTGCCTGAAGTGGAACTGGACTTCCTTCAGGCAGTTACCCTGTGTACTGAGTTCTGGATGGTGTCTGGGAATAGTTCTTCCCTGGGAAGGACCTTCCCCAAGGGTGTGTGGAGAGCTAAACCAGAGAGGAGTGCTGTGGGGTGACCCTGGCATGGAATCAGGGGAGCACAAGGCTTTGGGCATCTCTCAAGAAGGAGACAACAGGATGGGGATGCAGGGGACACTTCCTAGTTCTTACCACAACTAGGCCCAGAGAGGGATGAGGCCTGCCTGTGATCACAAAGTGAGGCTGGTCAAGGCAGGGATCAGTAGGCGTCTTGCTTTGCTTTCACAAATTCTGAACTACTAGACAGTCTGGCAGCCTCTGGAGACATTGCAGCTCTGTCCCCTACCCTACAAACCCAGCTTCTGGACACAGTAGTCTGCTTGGCTGCATCTGAGGTCTGGCATAGGCTCGAGCCTCCATCAGCTTGTGCACTTGAGTATTCACAGGCCATCCTGGACTATTCTCAGGGCCCTGAAGAAATGGGCTGCAAGTGGGACTTGGGAATAGGATCACAGCTGAGGTCAGGATGGGGCTCTGGAATAGGGGAGAATGAGGATGAAGCCACTCAGAAGGGGCTGACTTCCACGGCAGGTATCACACATCACAGACCCCAAAGCCTTGTGACCAGTATGGTAGAACACATGGGGCCTCCTGGCCCAGCCTTTCCTGGAGGAAGGTGCCCCAGGTTGGAAAAAGCAGTTCCTCTGGCGAAACCAGAAAGGACAAAGCAGAGTTCTATCACAGGAGGCTCAGGACTCAGGTAGGAATACCCTTCCCTCTTTCCACCTCAGTTTCTTCATCTGTACAATGGGGACTCCGATAAGTAAGGGGTCTATCATGGGTGGACCACTCAGCACATCCTGCAGGGGGAGCATTCTTCTCTGCCGGCCACAGGCCAGGAGCCTGGGCTCCCTCTGCTTCACTGCTGTACAGCTCAGGACTCCATACCAACTTGGCACCTCAGAATTTCTGGCTAGGAGGGTCCTAGGGTGGCGACCTAGTAGTAGGGAGGCCTAGGAGACCTAAGGCATGGCTACGCTGGAGCTGACTCAGTGTTGATCCAGCTGGAAGGGCCCTTAGAGATGATAAGCAGTTGCAGGAAGCAGTCAGATAAAGCCCCAGGCTTTGTCTACCAAATCCACACCTAATGGAAAGCCAGCATTTACAAGTTTTAATAGTTTGGCAACAATCTAGGTTGACTTTCATTTCACCTGCAGAGGGAAAGAGCGCTCACTGTGTGAACAATTCTTAGACATCTATGTACAGTGGGCCCTGATCCCAGATCTCAGCACCCAGGTCCTGATGGGGACGAAAACTGGCCTTCCAACCCATGGTCTGTTCCCAGGACTGGTGGGTAGTGAGGGCAGGGGGTGGCTGGGCCCGGGGAGCCAAGGCCATTACCATTGAAACTCTGGTGGGGGGTAGGCCGCTAGCTTCACGGGCAGTTTCACAAGCTCGTCTCCTGCCGTGGCCTCCAGGACAGGATCTTTGAGCCATTCGACACTGATGAAGGGCTTTTCTGTTAAACGGGAGGAACCAGTGTAAAGCCGGGCTGGCCTTGCTGACCCACCTCTACCTAAGATCTAATATGACAGTTCCGGCACCCTCAGCTGCTGACCCCTGCAGATAGGGGCTTGCCTCGTGCCAGGGTTTGTGAGTTGGGCAGAACTTCATGCATGCTCTCCCTCCTGGCTCTGGGTACACCTCATGCATACCTTCCCATTGCCCAGGTATACTATAACCTCTGACTCTGGGGCCACACTGCACACTGACTCTTGTAACCTAGGCTTGGTGACACCTGCCAAACCCACGCCATACCATGCACAATGACCTCGGTGCTCTCCCGGAATCGCTGGTCACCGTTGTTGGCCTCGCATACGTAGGAGCCCAAGTCGTGCTGGCTGACATTGTGGATGGTCAGGATGCTGGAGAGCTCTGTGTGGGTCTGCTGTGAGCGCCGCTCTGGTACCCACTTACCCCGCTCTGCCTGCCCACACCACGGAAGCCACAATCAGAGATAGGACTCTGGCAGAACTGATGCCAAGTACAAACTCCCTTGTCTTGGAACCAGACCCAGAACTTTCCTTGGAGCAGGAAAATTCTTGCAGGACTGAGCTGTGCCTCCTCTAGACATAGCCCCAGTGCATCTTGGACACTGGGAGGGTGAGGGCAGTGTCTAGGGATTCCCCAGGACAGACTGGGCCCAGGGTAGGCATGGGCAGTGTCCAGGGGATTCTGGGAAATGCTGGGTACAGGATGGGTATCAGCAGGAGGTAGGAACCCTGGCAGGGCTGAGACCTCACCTGCTTCCCAGGATAGTCCCAGTCAAAGGTGACACCTGCATTGAACTCAGCCCAAACGGTGCAGTTCAGGACCAGCTTCTCCCCAACCAGCAGCTCTAGAGACTTCTTGGGGAACAGCTGGATGTCATAGAGCTCATTGCCTGAGACACACAGCACACACAGTGACCCCTGAGACCTTGGCTTCAGAACTAACATGCTTGTTCCTGGGCACTGGGGTGAGGAATTGTTCTCAGTCCTCCTCCACAGCCCTCCCTCCCAAGGCAGGGCATGTGGTCACTGGGCTGATGGGTCCTACCTGTGATATGCACGAGGAAGGGGCTAGATCGGAAGTCCTGGCCACCCAGGGTGGTCTCACACTGAAGGTACAATGTCTCTCGCAGCAACTGCACGGGCACCCGCATGCCCTGGCGGTCATCCCACACCACCTCCTGCTTGTCTGGCCGCAGCACTGAGTTTTGCTGGAGGGACATGGCAGCCATCAGGGCCTAGCTGCCCACTTCCTCCCAGCCAGACCAGAAACTGCCTTTCCCAGGGACTGGACAGGCAGGCTGGATCCCGGGGTAGGGGTGGAGACTATACCAAACACAATGTGACGTTGAGGCCTGGAATGGACACCAGGCAGGGCACCCACATGAAGTCCTTCCTTTTGACCAGGAGTGTGTGCGGCTGGTTGATGAAAGGCTGCTCGAAGTCTGCAGAGAGGGGACAGGAGTTGGAGGAGGGGAAGGTGGGCTCAGTGACTCTCTGGGGATGGGGTCAGCAGGGGCAGTCCCATAGTACTGGACAGCCTCTGACTGACTGCAAGCCAGGGTTGGCAGACTATGGGTGGGCTTGCAGGGCCCCCACTGCCCCCTGCCTGGCCTGGCAGCCCGCCGAGAGGGAGTACTAGCCTCACCTCTCACGAATACGTAGACACTGGCTGCGGTGGTGCCCTCGATGCGGGCCTTGATGTACTTGTAGTAGCAGCAGTAGCTGCCCGTGTCATTGGCATGGGCTTCACGCAACAGCAGCTCCTTGCAGTAGGGCCTGGTGTCTGTGCCCTCACAGTCTCGCACAACCCCCGTGTCCTCACTGTCCTTCTCCCCCTGGGCTGGTGCCTCCTGAGCCCCTGGCCAAGTCCACTCAAGAGGGTGCTGCCCCCTGGCAGAGGACAGGAGAGGTCAAGAGGGCCCAGCTGTAGCCCAAGAGGAGGTCCCCGAAGAGCCCCCCTCCCCACTTAAGGGTCAAGCCTTGTTCACAGCTTGCCCACTCTGAGGATAGGTGTGTTCACAGGACAGCTCAGGCCCACACAATGGGCCCGCCCCGAGCCCTTTGGGGCCTCTGCCTGGCTCAAGGTGAGGTGCGGTCTGTGCTGGGCTAGCCTGCAGAGACGCTGGGGATCCAGGGAGGGTAACATCTCTGAGGCCCAGGGTAGGTGTGGGTGGCTGGGGCTTCGGGTCTATACAGGGTGGCCTGGGGATGACTTAACAGTAAGTATTGGTCACCTGGGGTCAGTCTGGGACTAGTGAGAGGCCATGTGGGGTCAGTTGCGGTATGCTGGGGTGGGTGGAGTTAATGTAGACTAGGTGTGATGTGAGGGGGGTTGGGTGCAGGTGTCTGTAGCTGTAGGGCAGGCGATGTCCCTGTCCCTCCAGCACAATGCATGCACACAGCTCCCTGGGAGCCCCACTGAACCCAAGGCCTCTCAGCTTTGGGGACAGCCTGTCTTCTGGGTTCTCAGCCATCATCTCCTGCCTCAGCCTTCTCCAACCTCTGGCCTGCCAGCTAGGAGGCACCCCGGCCACTGCTTCCCTAGGCTGGGGGCCAAGTACCTGCAGGAGATGGACAGGCTGTCACTGGCGTTGATGACGTGGGATTCCTCTGTGATATTCAGGCTCGGGGGGGTCATGGAGTAGCCGCTCACCAGACCTGGAGAGGAAGACAGGGTTACTGGTGCTGGCTCCGGAGGTTACAGGCAGCAACCTGCCCTTCTCGGTCCTTGGGAGCAGACCCGGCAGCCTGGACTCCAGGGAGTCATGACTGTACACCTGAGCATCCATGTATACCTGAGCATCCCAACCTGCAAGGCTCCACCCAGTCTGACCCCTGACCCCACTGCCAACTATCCCTGCCAGAGACCTGATCTTGCCCTCAGATAGAGTATAGCCCAAGTGAATCTGTGTGTGCATCTGTCTGTGTCTGTGGATGTTTATCTGTGTGTCTGTGGAACTGTGTTTGTGAATCTGTGTAATTGTGTAAATTAGTTTGTGTGACCAGCTGTGTGTGCCTATGTGTGTGTCTATGGCTCGGTGTATGGTCTTGTCTTTCTTGTCTGTGTGCCAGTTTGTGCATCTCTGACATGTTAGTGTGTGTGTACATATGAGCTTATGGGTGTATGTGAGGCTGTATGTGTAGTGGGGGATCCCGGTGGGGGTGGGAGCAGGCCCTGGGGGGAGGTCTGGCCTGGAATCTGGCAGATGCATCCTGCCAGGACCATCCTGAGACAACAGGAAGGGAGGACTGTGTGGCCGGACGCCCAGGGCTGTGTCCTGTCCCTCCCCCCAGGTCCCTGTCCTCCTGGGGGAGTGTGGCCCTCTATCCCACCCCCAGTCCCACAGGGCAGCAGCATTCTGGGCAATAGAGGTCGGGCTCTTCTGTCCTCCCCAGCACAGCTTGCCTGGCTCCTGCCCTGACTGCCAACTGGTGTGGGGTGGAGCTTGGGGGCCCCCATCACATGTGGTTCTATAACACCCTGACCCAAGTGAACCTAGGAAGAGGCAGGGTGGGATGCTCAAATACCAAGATCTTTAACACCAAGCCAACACCACAGCCAGTACAGGGTCAGTCCCCTTCTGCCCCTCCCTCCAGCCTCCTAGGCACTGCACCAGTGTGGCCAGCGCTTACGGAACACCTAGTCACACTGAACCAACAGGGCAGCCTCTGGCCTGGCCAGCTGCTGCAACTTCAGTCTGCAAAGCCCTTCCTTAGCCTGTCCAGAGGAGCCATGATGGCGCAACGGTTAAAGTGCTTGATTGCTAACCAAAACATTGTTGGTTAGAACCCACCAGACATTCCGAGGGAGAAAGATGTGGCAGGCTGCTTCAGTAAAGAATGTTGTTGTTGTTAAATGCCTTCAAGTCAGTTCCGACTCATAGTGACCCTGTATAGGGTTCCTGAGGAATGACTGATGGGTTTGAACTGCCGACCTGTGGTTTGCAGTCTAGTGCTTATCCAACAGGGCCACACAAAAACCCCATAAAGAATACACAACCTTGGAAACCCTCTAGGGAAGTTCTCCTCTGTTCTATACGGATGCTGAAAGTTGGATTGACAGCAGCGGGTTTGTTTTGTTTTGTTTTAGTCAGAGCCCAGCTAGCACCTTCCCTAGCATTCTGGCCAACATCTTGCCTTGAAACCCATCCTAGTCTAGTGTCACAAGGGGGCAAGGGAGCCCCAGACTCGGTTCCCAAGACCTACTCCCCATCTGGGCTCTTTGCCAGGTCTGCCTAGCCTCCTCCCCGTCCCCTACCTCTACTCTCATGGATCTCCAGGCCTTGAACATACACCTCAGTAGTTCTATGGAGAGAGATGGGTGCCAGAGTTCTGGGAAGTCCAGCAGACAGGAGGCTCCCCTCCAGGGGTGGTGAGGGGGCAGGGAAGGAACCTTGGAGGGCACCTTTGAGCTGGGCTTTGAAGGACAATGAGGTGTTTTCCAGGCAGCAAATAAGGCCATTCCAAGCAGACAGCAGGCAAATGTGTGGCAACTAAGCCCAACATCCACTTGGTCAGGTCTGACCAATGATAACTCTGGCATATGGTCAGACCTGAAGTGCAAAAGAGGAGAGATGAAGGGGCATCCCCATCCTAGTCCCAGGACCCTGGATACTGAACAGTGGTTATACCACCAGTAGAGGTCATGGCCCTATGAGAAGGAAAAGCTCATGTGGAAGTCTGAGGCTTTGCATTGGGATCCTCAGAGAGGCTGTGGCACCCCTTCTCTGGCTGCACAGCTTTTCAAAGCAAACACCTGGCAATGGTCAGCTCAGCTTCCTTTGATGGTTCCCCTTTGCTTCCAAGATAAAGTTCAACTTTGTTAGTAGGGCATGCAAGGACTTCACTTTCTCTTCAGCTTCATATTCTGACACATCTTCAAAAGCACGGGCCTCTCTCTCACCATCATCCCAAATGCCAGACTTTTTCATATTTTCAAGTTTTGCCTTTGGCCCACTAACCTCCTTTTTTAAGAGCTAGCTCATGTACCCCTGCCTTAGGGAGAGTCATCAGTTCTCATGCAGTGCCGTCCTCAACCTCCTCTGGGTTTCTACTGTTAGAAACCTGTCAGATTGAGTTGCACATTTCTGTTTACATCTGAATAGAGGCTGTATTTTATTCATTTTCCTAAGCCTTATACAGAGGACATGTGTACACAAGAGTCAGGGGATGAATACAAGAAAGGGTGTATGGATAATGGATACAGGATAGAAGAATGGTGGATAATCAGGTGAGTGGATGTGTGGAAGGAAGGAAGGAAAGAAAGAGAGGTAGATAGATAGATGGAAGGAAGAGTGGATGGGTGGGTAGGTGGATGGATGGAAGGAAGAAAAAAAGAACAGGAAGGAAAGAAGAAAGGAAGGAGTGGTGGGTGGATGAACAGATGGATAGACCCTGAGGGAACTTCCTTCCTGCTGGTGGTGGTGGTGGTGGTTATGTGCCATGGAGTCGGTTCCGACTCATGGCAACCCTGTATAGGGTTTCCAAGGCTGTAAATCTTTACAGGTCCAGAAAGCCTCATTTTTCTTCCATGGAACAGCTGGTAGTTTCAAACTGCTGACCTTGAGGTTAGCAGCTCAACTCTAAACCACTACGCTACCAGAGCTCCTTAGTTTTCCTCCCTAGAGGCTATGATACCACCAAAGGAAACATTCATATTGCTGTGCTAAAATGGAGGGACCATCCATCCTGCTCCTCCACCCTTTTGTTGTCACATGCTCTGATTTATCCCAGTGCCCACTCTGCCTACACTGACCTTCCTTTGGGACCTGTGATGAGTACACTTTGCAGTACACCTCACTGTCCTCTTTGAATGTTCCCTCTACTTCCTGTCTCATCTAAAACTCAGCTTTCTGACTAAGGACACTCTGCTCTGGGCAGTTACTGCTCTCACACTACACCAGCCTGAGGCCAAGAGATGTAGTTGGTGGCCACTTCCCTTCCCTAAGCAAGCCTCTTTGAGGATCCTGCTCTAACTGCACCATCCTCTGCCCCTAAAGCTGTCAGCGTGCTCACTCACTTCCCCTCATTCTCTGCTGACTAGAGCGCCTGCCTCCCTACCACCCCACCTCATGTCATTCTCCATGACCTCAACATCCATATGGTGACTCACCAACACCCTGGCCTTTGAGATTCTTGACTGCATCATTCTGATTTTCCGTCCGCTCTCCCTCACCACTCGCTTTGTTCTAAGGGGCATTCTGGTTGTACTTCTTCCAAGACAGCTTTGTTTGTTCTTCTGGAAGTCCATGGCATTCTTCACCAACATCATATTTCAAATGCATCCCTTTTTGTCCTTATTCATTGTCCAGCTTTCATGTGCATATGAGATGATAGAAAATACCTTAACTTGGGTAAGGCACACCTTAGGTCTCAAAGTGACATCTTAGCTTTTTAACACTTTAAAGAGTTGTTTTGTTTTTTTCCCAGTAGATTTGCTCAATACAACATTCAATCTAGTGACCACTATCTCCATGAGTGCTGACTGTGGATCCAAGTAAAAATGACATCCATGACTATAATCTATTCTCCATTAATCATGATGTTATTTATTGGTTCAGTTGTGAGGATTTTTTCTTTCTTTACACTGAGCTGTATTCCATACCAAAAGATGATTTTTCAAAAATCTTCATTTGTGTTTCAAGTCTTTTTTGCTTTTAGCAAGCAAGGTTGTATCATCCACTTTGTTGTTGTTAAGTGCCATTGAGTCTGCTCTGACTCATAGTGACCCTATCTAGGGTTTCTGAGGCTTGTAAATCTTTGTGAAAGCAGAACACGTCGTCTTTCTCCCCCAGAACAGCTACTGGACTAGAACCATCGACCTTGTGGTTTGCAGTCCAGTGCTTATCCAATTGTTAATGAGCCTTTCTTCAAGCCTAATGCCACATTCTTCTTCAAACAGTCCAACTTGTTTTATATTTGCTCAGCATACAAATGAATAATTATGGTGAAAGAATACAACCTTGACACACATCTTTCCTGTTTGAATGACTGCCTTGTGTGGTTTATGTACAGGTTTCTGATGAACACAACTAAGTGTTCTGGAATTCCCATTCTTTGCAGCACGATCCATAGTTTATTATCCACACAGATGAATGCTTTTGCAGAGTTAATAAAACACAAAGAAACATCTCTCCAGTGTTTTCTGCTTTCAAACTAGATCCATCTGATCTAAGCAATGATAGTCCTGTTTCATGTTCTCTTCTGAACCCAGCCTCAATTCCTGACAGCTCCCTGTCAATGTACTGCTGCAATCAGTTTAAAATGATATTCAGTAAAATTTTACTTGGGTGTGATATTAATGATATTATTTGATAATTTTCACCTTAGTGGGTGCTTTGTTCTGCCTGGCAGTTCCAGATGTTTCTTTCCCCTTCACCCTCAAAGTAAAGCCATCAAATGGAGATATCCTCCTCTTCTGTAGTCACAGCTACTGGTCAGGATCCCTGGACACCCTGCATCTTTGTTATAACTGCTCCCAAAGGCTGACCCTCCATAGTGACTGGGAATCTGATTCTCATAGGTAATGCCATTCTCTTTGCATTGCCAATCTTTCTTTCTATGGAGTGTTCACCCATCTTAACAAAACAAAGCAATTCCTTGATTCTATATCTCCTGCCTTCTTTCCTATTCTTCTTCATAGCAAGAGTTCTTAGAGC